GTGAGGGGGGGGGGGGGGGTGCCCGGGGGGTCCGGACCCCCTGGACACCCCCCCCCCCCTGTACACGCCCCTGCTGTTACTTATGTGTTAGAATTACTACATAGGAACCCTAACTGTGGGAAGCCTCTGGCTATGTAATACAATTATCTATGATTTGTAGTACTAGGCCTAGTGACCTAGTCTCCTAAATCTAGGCGAAATTGCACTATTGACTATTTTATTACAATTGTTTTTACCCCTTGTGATTTTACCACTAATAGAAAACAGAAAGAGTTCAGAAAATGGTTAGTGTACATGCTCTACAACACTCATCATGTACGGTGGTGTTTGTGTGTTGTAAAATGTAACAGCAGTGAATGTTGTAATGTGTACGGTTCCCCAGAAAACGATAGAATTGTCACAGTTTTTACCTATAAAGCCCTGGTCACAACGAGCCCACGACGCATTTGTGCAACGACACGACAGAAAATTTGGGCAAATCGTGGGTCATCGGGGGTCGTCGCAAGACAGTCCTACGAAATTTTGAGCATCGTGGCATCGATTTGCCGTCGTGAGGCAAAATTGAACATGCACCTTTTTTGTTGCACGATTTTTTGTGGTATCTATGTCTTCTGGTTGTCGTGAGTCTGTCCTACAACAGTCTTGCGACTGTCGTGCGATAAATATCTTGTCGTGGGTACCAGAAGAATTTTTTTTAGTCAAATAATTTTACGACTATCGCACGACTGTCCTACAACTGTCTCACGGCTGTCGCAAGACAGTCGTGAGACAGTTGCAAGATTGTCTCACGAATATTATATTTCGTAAGAGGCTCGCACAACATTGCAAGTCTGTCGTGCGTTAGTCTTGCGTTAGTCTTGCGTTAGTCTTGCAACATATTTTCGTTTTTTGAGGGGATATAGCTCGGGCGAATAAACGCTTGGAATTAAAAACTGCCTGTTGGCGCTGAAAGAGGATGGCTATTCCACCTGAGCAACTACGCGTGGCCCTGCTGAGGGGGCGTCTCCAGCACAAGCATAATATAGTGCTGTTGGCGTTGATCCGGGCCCGGGAGCAGCGCAGGAACCGGCGAAACCCCCGACGTTGGTGGGTTCGGCCGTGGATCGAGCGGCGCCTGATGTTTGGGCAGTATAGTACTCTGATGCAAGAGTTGGAGCGGAAATCTGCCGGTGACTTCGTGGGGTCATGCGGATGGAGTCTGGCATGTTTCACGAGCTGTTGCTGAGTGTCGCCCCTCGCATCACCAAGGGCCAACTGCTAGGCTTACCACCTTTCTCTTGTTGGTTTTCTTCTTGAGAGGCATCCTGGATACTAACTTTGATTAAATCAAGTGACAAATGTCAAAAATTCGGGCAGAACTTCGATGTATCCACTGGAAAATCTCTGCAGCAAATGGCA